CTGCATGTTTAATTTCATGGCTCAAGGTTCAATATTATAGACAATCCGAAATTTTCCAGTTAAGGATCGAAGAAAGTACCAAAAAGTTCTTCCTAAAGATTTTCGTTCACTCAGGATGCTTAATGTGTAATTTTATATTTCCGGTTTCTATATTATAGAAAATCCTAAAAGTACTTGTTGAAATACGAAAAAGTACCAAAAAGTAAGTTTTACAGATTATACTTTACTCAGAACTATGCATGTTAATTGCATATATTTAAGTTCAATATTATAGAATACTCAAAAATACCAGCTGAAGTACAAAAAAGTACCAAAGAGTAGTCCTTGGTATCGGAGTTCTAAATAACACCTCATTCCGTGCCATTTAGTGTTACTAAATTAACAATTTTTATCAAAATTGGTGCAATCAGTTTGAATAAAATCAAATTTCCCGTTTTTACCCCCCCTTTGGTACTTTATTTCCTCCTGATGAATCAGTCATCTTGCTGGGTTTTATGATCATTATTATAATTTTTTATATATTAACTTACTTGGGTCTTAATCGTATATGTTTAAAACGCACTGAAACGATTTCCTCATTCGAACCGCTAATAAAAATGATGAAACAATCATTTTTAGCATGACGAACTGTTGAGGCATTTAAGGCTACCAACGAGGGTGACGTGGAAGTACCATTGTGATCTTGGGCATGTAAACAGGAACATTCTAAAACAAATTGTGTGCGTTTATTATGATTTTGTTTTTATTAAGAACATTTTAAATATATTTTTTTTATTTTGCCATAATTATTGCCAAATGTCTTACCCAAAAATAAACTTTTGGTTTTATTGGCGAAAACTATTTGGACATCATAAATATGTATGATACCGATTACAAAAATTAACACAAATATTTTAAACATGTTTTTTCTTTAATTTGTTTTTAAATTACAATATTTCATTTAGAATTTCCTTTATATTATTAACACAATTTGGAAAATTTATGAGCAACACAACCACAACCAGCAGCGGCAATAGAGTCATTGAAAACTCCGTGTTTTAACTGTTACTGATGTTACTGATTGACTAAAAGTGTTTTTCATCTTCAACGCGGGCAAATTTATAATAAATTTTATATTTTCCTGCTAAATATATGTGTGTGGTCACTGCTGCCTGTGTCTATATTTTATATTATTTATTTTTTTTTTCGTTTAATTTTGTTTTGTTTTTGGTATGCTCCATTTAGACTTGTTCCTTGCTTGATTTTCATTTCAGCGGAGGAAACGGAAATAGCATTATGTATGTTGTCTACTCTAGTTGTGTAAGTGTTTGTAAGTTTATGTATGTATGTGGGTGCTTGTCGGTGTGTGTTTGGTGTTTATGTTTCTTTTATAAATAGTGTATGTCTAGCAAGTTACTTTGTTTTTGTCATACTTTTACTCGATACTCTGTTACTTTGACAGTTAGTCACATTTGCGACCTACATACATATGTATGTATATCGTCGTCTTCATTATTATCATCATCGTCGTCATCATTATTATATCTTTTGTCACCATCATCATAATCATCATTTCTATCATCACTAGGGCAACAAAGCTTTAAAGCAAAAAAAGAACTAAGAATGTATGCCATGTGTGCAACTACAGCCTGTTTATATTATTAACCAGTTAGGAGACAATAACAGAGAGTATTAAAACTCTCAATGGAATGACAACAATAACATACACATAAGTAGCATCATCAAGTATTATAAAACTAAGCTAACTTAGTTTACGATTGACACCGTGGTTTAAAATGATAAAATATTGTGGTAAAGGTTTTTATATTATTTCGATGAAAATTCGAATTTTTCTATAAAAATTTCATTTTTCTATAAAAATATTTTTTTTTTATGAAAATTTGATTTCTCTATGAAAATTTGATTTTTTTACGAAAATTTGATTTTTCTATGAAAATTGAATTTTTCTATGAAAATTAAATTTTTCTATGAAAATTCGATTTTTCTATCAAAATTCGATTTTTTTATTTTTTGTAAAAATTTAACTTTTCTATGAAATTTTTACTTTTTTGAAAATTCTATTTTTTGTTAAACATTTTTATTCAATGAAAAAACGAATTTTATTTTTGTAAAAAGTGATTTTGTTCAAATCGGATTTTTAAATAATTTTTTGAATCATAATTTTAGCTCCTAAATTTCTGAAAATATCCATGAAAAGTTTTAGGTAGTCTGAATCCGAATCTGACCTCAAAATGTACTCTTCACATCAGGTTTTCCAGATATCGTGTCATCAATTTTGAAAAAAAGCTTTTGTCCATTATGGATTCAGATTCAAGAATCCAACGCTGCTCATTTCTTTAGAAAAGTATATTTCGGTATCTGGGTTTCGACTTTTTTTAAAATTTGTTGGACTAATGAATCGTTAATTATCCAATAAAATTTGACAAAGGTTTTGATTAAAATAAAACATGAAGAATTTAAGTGAGTTATCAATCTTAATGTGATTTTCTAAAGGGGATCTTATATGAGGGCTTGACCCAATCCTTATAAAATGCCAGACAGATTCTAAAACTAGCTCATGTCTCTTTTCAGCGCTATACCGGTATTTTTTAGCCAATTATGGGCTTTAAAGTCGTTTTCGGTGCGAGACTTTATATGGTAGTAGGATCCATTGTGGACCGATACTTATAAAGTTTAACAAAAAGATTTTTGCTCCTATAAATCTTAAGATCCCCTTCAGAAAACTGTTACTGTTTAAATTAGACCTAAGTTAAGTGAAATCGTGGACCTATAGTGATCATTTTCAATATACAACAAACTGCATCAACTAAAAATATTTGCACTCTATTGTGTTTTCAACAGAGGGATGGATATAACTAGATATTAAGGACCCAGAATATATTTACTTTTGTGGGTATAAGACCAATATTTCGATGTGTTACAAAGGTAATGACAACTTCAATATATTCCAGAATTTTCAAATTGTACAAAACAGCATTAACAATTGTACTTTTTTGATTCCATTTGTGAAGTAATCTCAAAATTAACAGTTCATCTGTATCTATGGGCTAGATTAGTCATTAGACTAGTAGATAAACAAGTCCATTTTGTCATCAGATTTGTCCATATACTAATAGGGAGTCTATAGACTCCCTATGGACTACACAATAGAGTAGTCTATAAACTAGACAATAGATTACTCTATAGACTAGACAATACACTATTCTATAGATTTTAATGTTATATATTAGTCCAAAGGCAAATACAGAGATGTCTATAAACTAGATAATATAATAGCCTATAGACTATACTCTAAATACTAGATAATAGGGTAGTCGGTAAATAACGCAAAGGCTACTTCATAGACTAGTTCCTAGACTAATTTATAGACCAGACCATAGAAAATACATTAGACTACACCAAAGTATAGTAAAATGTATTTTAAAAGTCTATTCAAAATTGCACTTAAAAGACCCTTAAAATTATTTAAAATCGGATAAAATAAGTTCTAAATAAATAATAAATAATTGTGGGAAATTATGACTCTGCTTGTCTGGTTGTAATTTCTTTCAGATTTCTAAACTATATGAGAGAATATAAACAAGAATTTTATTTTTCCTCTTCAGAATTTATCGAAGGACTTCCTACCTTTGAACTTTATGTCAGAAGTACAATTTTAGATTATTATTTCAGTAAGAAAATGAATTTCAAATTGTACAAAATGTGTCATTGTACTTTTGAGTATTGAATTGTACCAAAAAAAGTACAATTGTACCAATTTTACCAACCCTGATATGTTCCCATGTGTTTTGTTGGTGAGTACAAACATGATTAAACAACTATAGAGAATGAATTTGAATTGATGTTAGAATAGCGAAAAATAATAGTCCTATATAATTTTTTTAAATTGATTCAGCAATATGCTCACATAAATATCCTTCTATTGTAGCTAACAATAGGCCCGATAGTGGCCTAGGAGTATTTCTTTGGTAACATCTATTCAAAATAATAGGAGTATTCGATTTACATTCAAATATTTTTTAAATAAATACAAAAAAATATACAAAGATATTTTGCCATTAAAATTTCATTTTCAAGAAAACGAGAGATAGCGACTATTGAATATATATAGTTCCTCGATATAAACTTAAATTTCGACACACTGTACTTTTAAAACATATGAAAACTAATTTTTATTAGACAATTTGTTTTACAAAAATATAAAAGATTTCTTCTTTTATTGTCACTTAATATGTCAGCGAAATACTATAATAAATACAAACTTATGTACATACATTAGGGTGTCCCGTGGACCACTTCTTTCTAGGAATACCACTCTAACGATGTGTATTAAATAAGAGAAAAATAAAAAAATATTTTTTTGATTTTTTTCACAACTTATACAGAGGACGGGATTTTTCAATAGTTAGTAGGGAGCTTAGGATCGTTTAATACTGAAAGGTATTCCTACATTAGATTCTTAAAAAGTGCTATTCCTCGGGACACTCTAATGAACATATACTATAACAATCAACACAACTTTCTCTAGGTATCTATTTAGATAAACTGTATTGTTCCACGGTACAAACTGAGAAGGTCCTTACTCCTATACTTTTTTTCTAATATGTATTTAATATAGTTTTATTTTTTAACAACAAAATTTTAGTTTATAAATAAAAAAAGTTAATATGGAAGCTAGGAAATTGTAACAGGGAATGACCCAATTAATGAATCATTTGAGTGTAAACAATCAATTTATAACACAGTTAGCTATTGAGCCTTATAGCTATAACAGCTAAAGGCAAAATGAAAATGTATAGTCTCGTTTTTTTAAGAGAACATAAATAAAACCACAATATTAATAAAACTAAAAAATAAAGAAACCAAAAATAAATCTATAGTGTTTTATTATTTATATTTAAAGTTTAACCAATTTTAAATTACGTTATAGATAAATTTATTATTAAGTTAAGTTACTGTGACGTTAAATTCTTATTAGTTACAGCTATAAGTATGCTACAGTTTTCTTAAATTCGTGTTGCCCAACAAGCATTTTGACTTTGTACGTGTGTGCCTCTTTAATTTTACTTTTGCAATTTTGATTTAAACATTTCAGCCAAAACCAAAGCAGGATTTCCATTTAAATTCTGCAGTTAATAAATTATTGATGTTAATGTTATGTTTAATTTTTTTCATAAATAATTAATTATACTTACCTCATAATCATAGGATTCGGCAAATTGTTTACATCGTTGATACCATTGTTTAATGCGCGTGTACGATTGTAAATCAAATTCAAAAGCTTCTATTTGTGATATGGTCACCATAAGCGTTAGATCAGCTATGGTAAAATGTTCAGCTGCTGAAAATTTTCTACCCTTTAGTATGATATCGAACCATCCTAGGGCTTCACTTAATTTTGCTTTTTTCGTTTCGTCCAGAGGAGCTCCCATAAACATTGTGGGGAACTTGGGAACGATTAATACAATAAGTTTTTATTACAGGAGTTTAATAGTAAATAAAAGAGAAATTGTGATGCCACCTACTACTAATCCGAGAAAAGTTGGTCTTTTCTTAAAAAGAGCAATTGAAATTTATTTACTTCTTAAAGTAAAACATAATTCCATAATAAATTAACTCTTATTATTAAAAGACTTTAAACTACAAAAATCTTGACTTTAAGAAAATCGGGGAAGAATAAAACTTTTTAAAGCCATTTTTAATGGTATTACGTTTCCTATAGTATCAGGATTTTTTAATGTTTCATTATTTTCGGTTATAAATTTGACTTTTACAAATTTAAATTAAATTTAAAAAAAATCTTTTTAGGGATTTTTCAATGGATATAGAAAGATTTTATTTATTCGGGGAAATTTAGGTTTAAAAAATGATACAATTTTTATGCAAAATATTTTTTAGTGATATTTTTCTTAACTTTTTGTAATGTTGCTATATCCAAAAAGTAATCATAAACTTAATTTTTAATGAAACGGATCTTTTAAAATTGGTACGATGTGATGTTTGGACTATATAAGGTGCATTCGCTAATATCTCTAGTAGTTAGTTAGTTAGGATGTATATACATCAAATCCGAAGAAATACACCTAGGCCTCTATCGGGCCTGTTGTGCGCTCCTTAACCAGTGCCTCAGGTGGGAATCGAACCCACCACCTCCGGTCTACCAGACTAGAACACTAACCACTAACCTACCGGAGGCCAAAATCTCTAGTAAGAATTTCAAAAGTTATTAGTGCAATCATCGAAAAGGGAAATTGAGCCTTTATTGATTAAATATCTTTTCAATCTTAAAGATATTATCTTAGATCTAAAGCACGTGATTAATATTATCACTCTACAAAAAATGTGGGCGGTAATATTATGGCCATGTCCACTTTATTTGCTGGGTTTGATTTACATATTTAGAGAACTATCTTTTGATCACTATTTGAAACAGAATTTTATTTAAATCAGCTTAAATAACTAAAATATTAGTATTGACCATGCCCACTTTTAAAAATTTACTATAAAGTTTAAAATAATCAACTATTGTCATTAAAGTTGTAAATATTATTACACATTAAACGGTTTAATAAAATTATAGCGAAATGTGGGCGAAATGTTTGGATGAGGGCATGGTTGTCATAAAAATTTTATTAGATTTTTATGGTATACATTTGAATAAAAATTAAAATAATTTGCAAAAATTATCTATATAAAAAGTAAGCTCGTCTTTATTATAACTACGCCTTTTTGATTTTGTAAGGCTTGACTCAGTTTGTCTGTTTTAAAATTATTACCTTTTATTGTACTGAAGAATATCAAAGTTAGCACTAATATACGAAGTGGACATGATATAAACGTCCTATGCGATTAAAGTTTTGGAAAAAGAAACTTTCAATAGTGGAAAGTCGTACAATGTTCTTTACATATTTTAATGCCTTGAAAAGGACACAAAATCCGGGGTCGAATTACCTCATACATTATTGTAATTTTCTTGATAGCAATCAATATCGAAAAAGAAATCTAGTAAATTTTAGCATAAATTCGATATCAAAATGTGTTTCGATCTGAATGATTTTTCGAACTTAGTACATACAATTGCTACAAATTAACTATATACTCGTGAAATTCGTAAAAATTATTTATACTTATGTATATTAATAAAAATATTAAAGGTTTTTATATAAACAAAAGCCTCGCAAACTGTGCAATCTGTGCATTTTCGATTTTACATTCAATTTGTCACAGATTGTATGGGATTTTACTTCCACAACATTGATACATTTGATCGCCCATTTGAACGGATCATTTTAAACTAAATTTTCTCTTCTTAATAATACAGATAGCCATTTGTACAAGTTTGCACTAGTGTTTCATGAATACCCTTATTAATTCCTCAAATTTAATAAAACAGGGTAATTACCAAAGGTCCCTTATTTTAGTATATATCGGATTTGCTCTTGTGTAAAAATGGCTAATGTAATAATAATTGAAAACTTACATAATATTCCATCATTCTTTGATACAATGTACCTAAATCAAACATCATACGTTGATCTACCAGAGCTCGAACACGAACATCTTTTGGATATAAACTGTCATCTTTACCGAATGCCGAAACCATATAAGATAAAATAGCGCGACTAAAATTAACACAAAAAATAAATAATATTTTTCATGGAAAATTTCAATTAATAAAATTTACCTTTCCCATAATATTAAACCATCATCATTTAAAGTTGGCACACAATGCTGGGGATTCATTTCAAGAAATTCAGGTTTCATTTGTTCGCCTTCCATAATATTGATGATCTTTAGATCGAGTTCGAGATCTAACATTTTGGCCAAAAGTAAAATGCTGCGACATGGTGGACTTGGTGGTAAATAATACAATGTTGGTGTCATATTACCGCCTCTAATTAAAAGGCAATAGACAAATTCTTTAACAATATTTGTTGTTTCTTCAAACATTATTCAAATGAAAATGACAAATGTCTTTTTTTTAGGTAATCGTATGTAAGTTTTTTAACTTTTTTTGGGCATACAGTAATAATAAATTAGTACGAGTTTTTAGTATGACATGAAATGGTTTTATACAGGTAAGTACGTATGTACTCAATATTAAAAAATACAAAAGAAACCAATAAAAATATACATAAATAAAAAATAGAAAATCGATTTAATTGCTAAAAAAAACAAAACACAACATATATGGCAAGTGATTAGATTTAAATGTAACGTCTAAATATTAAAAATAAAAATAAACAAATTACAACGCAATGGTCAATGGGGTTATATCAATAATTTTATTTCCCAAAAGCCCAAAAGTATGCTTTTATTTAATAACAAAAATATTAATACTCATTAGAATTGATAAAGATCTTCTAGTTTTCTTTCCTTCTTTGTGCTTGCACTTATTTTCCTAGCAATTATTATAATGTTTTCTATTAATTTTCTATTTATTTAATTTTTGGTTTATTTTTGAAACACTCACTGACTGATCGAGAAGACGTTTATTACTTACTTGAGTTGATGCACAAATTTGTGTTGCACCACTTGTACTGTTTCTATGCAATTCCCCAGTTTTTCTTTCTTTTGCGCAATCACCCGTTCCGGTTTTAAACTTTCAAAAGTGTCCTTCCTTGTCAGAGTCTTATAAATGTTTAAACTTTTATTTGTTTCGTAAAAAATGTAGAATAAAAATATCTGTGTAAATGTCCTGTAATGGTGTATTTGACTTTGGTCAACTTATAAATATATGTAGGAACTTAGACGGTTGGGTTAAATGTTGTAATAAATATACAAAAACAATTACATAGTTTTTGTGTTTAGTTTTTCTATTACCGAAAAAAAGTTGCTAAGCAACAAAAAAAAGTTCCATTGACATTAAAAACGTATGGGTGATTACACGTGTCGTTTGGGGTGGGAAATGGTACATTTCGAATAAAATTTTAATAGTCCAACAATTACTGGGATTTTGTTTATGGTTAAAATTTATTACCTTTTAAAGGTTTACATAAATTAGTGTTTAACAATCCTTTTAAACAACAAATTTAAAGTGAATTTTGCATGGTTTCACGATAAAGACCATTATGAATATGGATATACCTCTGTTATATTTTGCTGCTTCTTCGAGATATCTTAATCTAAAGTTTTGATCATTTTATATAAATAATGGTAACTTTGAGCGATTATAAAGTCTCTGATATATCGAAGAACTATAGTAGAGTTTTTTATTCTTTTGGGCTAGTTATTTCGGAAACCTGAAGCCATGTAGAAATTCTGAGGTCAGATTCTGATTCTGTACAGTACAATCATTTGAAATCTATACGATTCTTCCTGGTTTCTAGGTCTCTGGCTTATAAATTTGATAGACTCTGTTATAAACCGATCCCCTTTAAATTTGGTATAGAAAGCTTTTCTCAAGGGAACCTTGTATGATGGCTAGGGTCTTCTATTGAAAATATCACTTTCAACGTTATAGCGCTTCTTAGATTCAGACTACAAGTATTTTTAGTCTTCCCCTATGACGGGTTATCTTTATGAACTTCCCCATGACAGGACTATAACCTGATGCTGTCAAATGTATTCACGGCTTTTCTTGCAACGATTTGTCCACAAGATGAACCTATTTTACCTGGTACTACGAAAAGCGGTAGATCGCAGAGCAGAGCTTCAAAAACGTCGGAAGAGAATGTTGTTTAAAAGACTGATACACGGTGAAATCTATATTTCTGGAAAAGTTCTGTGCTATTGCCGAAAAAGTTAAATGATACCTCTCAGAGGAGTGAGTGTCGGGCTAAGCGTTGGGAATGGGTTAGAATGCAGGTTAGTCCACCTGTATATCTAGAATAAATGTGGCGGATTTTTTTCTCAAAAAATGTGTCGGATAAATAAGAATGGTGATGGATGTACGGTATATTATACAAGTGACACCATTTAATTTCCCGTCCTTGTCAGGATATGTTCAGAGTGTACCCTGTTCATATCTCTTCTCTATAAGTAATAACTTGTCTTTGGCTTATTTGATGGATTCGCATTTCGGTCTACCATCGATCGTACCATCTGCGTGGTTGTAAACGGAAGTTAAGCAACGGGGCAGCAATGGTCAGAGATTAGATAGCTCAGGTACTTGAGCAAAGTTCTTGTACATGGGATGGGTACCATGTACAATATGTCCACCTGCGTGTTTTTTTCAAGGGCGGTGGTGAGTCATCTCAAGCTCATCATGTGGTTGGAAAAGTGTCTCGTGGACAAAATTGTTATAGGAACAGTTGAGTAATCTTTGCAGCACTGAATATGGAAAAAATAAAATTCTTAAATACCTTCTGTTTCAAGTGTGTTTCAAAAGTACCTTAACTTTAAGGGGAATATAATTATAAATTTTCTTTAGAGTACTTTTGGTCCACAAAAAGTTTTTAGCGCATTACGGGTGGCATTAAGATTTCGACAATTTTAGTAATAAGTATCAAAATTTTAGATTAAATTTACCCAATTACAATTGCTTATAATTTTATTTTTTTCCAATTACAATTACTTGTTTCCAAATTCAATTACTTGAAATAGATGTTTTCAATTAAAATTACTTGTAAATGAGGAATTACTAATAACAATTACATGTAATTATAAGGGGAAAATTCAGAATTACAATATAAAACTTAAATTACAATTACAAGTAATTGGAGGTTATTCAATTAAAATTACAAATATGTAATTGTAATTGGCAAATTTCAATTACAATTATAAGTAATCCAAATTGGTTATTGGTCAATTACACATTAGAAGTAATTGGAAATGGAAATTCTGCAATTACAAGTAATTGTAATTGTTATAGCTGCACTTACAATTACTTCAAATGTTAGTAATTAAAAATGTAATCATTACTTTTTTACAGCTATTTAATGCTGAGATTATGATTTTCAATCGCTGGTAGTACCCATTCAAAAAATATATTTCTTATTTTTCCCATGTTCAGTACATAAATACGCATTATTTGAGAATTATGCCTAAATCAAATTCCAATAGGAGCTGACTGTCCCACGGTACGCTCTAATATACAGCTTTATCGATTATAAAGAAATCAAGATTTATATTGGAAAATTTTTTTGTTACACTTTAGTATGGAAAACCTTATATAACAATATTTTACTTATTTTTCTATATCAATGATTTAGTCAACAATAATGTACATAGAATACTATTTAGGAGTTCGTACAATTAAGTGTAAATACAAAGAAATGTATTCTTACAATTACGTTTAAATATACATGTGAGGGGTTTTTCCTGACACTTTTCAAGAAATGACGTGTAAATACTAGTATTGTTTTGTTGTCTGGTCATTATTAGTATTATAACACAACCGGTTTTAATACCCTACATTAAAGTATAAGAATTATAGATTCGAATTGAATCATACTTGTCATGCCTTAATACAAAAACAACTTTTAAAAATATGTAGTTATACATAGGGTTAAGAAATACCACCTGGCATATGGCCCCTCGCTAGGTTTTTTTAAAATATTTGTATACTATTGTAAGAAGTGTTGGTTTTGTCCCATAGTATCCATATCAGAATGTTAACCTTGTAATTAAACTACATGTTATAATTTCAAAACTATATTACAAAATGCTCGAGATCGATCAATATTTTATTTATTTATCACTATCTAGTGTAGGTTAATAAATGTTCAACCTAGCTCGAAATTTTTTTTCTTACATGGTTTACAATTATTTGTATTATTTCAAATCATTATTGATCTAAAACTGCAGTTAATTTGACATGCATACAAATACATACATAAGTTTTTCTACATTCACTAGAAAAAAATTATTACCCACCTTCAACACCCCTTAGAAAAACACTTTTTTCAACATTACACAGGTGAGTGCGGTCATACCTTGATATAAACAAATTTGTCTTATAATATGGACTGACCGTCGCAACAACTACGTATATAAATACATTCATATGGATATGCAATATGTATGTGTATTTCTAAATGTATTAGAGAATGGGCCAGGTCATTATACTCTAGAGAACACGCATGACAAAATTTACGTTTTACTAACCTACATAGATATTTTCTTCAAATGTTTATTTTTTTATTATAACCGGACTAATGTAGACAGTAGAAAGAATTAGGAGACCCCATTTAATTGGAGAATTTCTGTCCTGTTGTCAAAAACCTCTCAATAAAAAAAATTAAATTTGAAAAGCCTCAAAAAGGGACATTTTTATCATTTAAACAAGCTCAACAAATATTAATGTCAGGACAAAAAATTTTAGAAAAAGAACGAACTAAACTTCCATTTAGGGCCCACCCTAATTTACATACAAAGTATTAAAGTTGTATGTAGTTTGTATGTAAGCTGTAAATAAGTATTAAAATTTTAAAACGACATATTAATTTTATACTTGTCAACACTTATAATTTTAAAATCTAATATTGGTATTACTGAAAAAAGTTATTTTCTCTTTTATTATTCCTTATAGAGTGTTTGTTAAAATAACAATTATCAAGTAAATAATTAAATAGTTTTCTTAAGTTCAAGGATATTTATTAGATTTTTTATTTGTGGTGAAAGAAAGAAAATTCTAGAATTTTTTAAATTATTAAAAATATTTAATACAGAATGTGAATTGAATTGTTCGCCAACGACATGGCTAATGTTAGTATAGAAAGTACTACATTTATATCCCACCAAATATCAATTTTTTTGTGAAAACATAAAAGTCCATTTTCTGGCTAAACGGAAGGGCCTAGGACAAAAACGATTAAAATCTGTGATCACTTTTATATCCCACCAAATATAGATTTTTATGTGAAAACATAGAAGTCCATTTTCTGGCTAAACGGAAGGCCCTAGGGCAAAAACGATTAAAATCTGTTATCACTTTTATATCCCACCAAATATTGATTTTTTGGTGAAAACATAAAAGTCCATTTTCTATCTAAACGGAAGGCCCTAGGGCAAAAACGATTAAAATCTGTGATCACTTTTATATCCCACCAAATATTAATTTTTTGTGAAAATATAAAAGTCCACTTTCTGGCTAAACGGAAGGCCCTAGGGCAAAAAGGATTAAAATCTGTGATCACTTTTATATCCCACCAAATACCAATTTCTTGTACAAATATAGAAGTCCACTTTCTGGCTAAACGGAAGGCCCTAGGGCAAAAAGGATTAAAATCTGTGATCACTTTTATATCCCACCAAAATACGATTTTTTTTGGTGAAAACATAAAAGTCCACTCTCTGGCTAAACGGAAGGCCCTAGGACAAAAACGATTAAAATCTGTGATCACTTTTATATCCCACCAAAATGCGATTTTTTGGTGAAAACATAAAAGTCCATTTTCTGGCTAAACGGAAGGCCCTAGGACAAAAAGGATCTGTGATCACTTTTATATCCCACCAAAATACGATTTGTTTGGTGAAAACATAAAAGTCCACTTTCTGGCTAAACGGAAGGCCCTAGGACAAAAATTATTAAAATATGTGATCACTTTTATATCCCACCAAAATACGATTTTTTGGTGAAAACATAAAAGTCCATTTTCTGGCTAAACGGAAGGCCCTAGGGCAAAAGCGATTAAAATCTATGATCAATTTCATATCCCACCAAATATTGATTTTTTGGTGAAAACATAAAAGTCCATTTTCCGGCTAAACGGAAGGCCCTAGGGCAAAAACGATTAAAATCTGTGATCACTTTTATATCCCACCAAATATCAATTTTTTGTGAAAATATAAAAGTCCACTTTCTGGCTAAA